TAAATAGGCTGGAATGTAGGAGGGCACCGGAAGCCGTAGTAAGGAGGTCGGCGCCACCCTCATTACAAGATTATAGACAGAACCACCACTAAGATTTAAAACTACACCTTTGTTTCCATACTACCACGATATCAAAGCTGGTTTATAATGTGCATTACTATTTTCTGAAGATTATGTACTTATTAACGCGAAGTTCCTCATTAATTCTTATCAGCAAAGGAACAGCAAAGGAGCAGTTTATCATTCAAGATATTGTTTTATTAATGTATTGCTACATTTAAGTTGACACGCAAGAAATTATTAAAAAATATGGTTCTAATAGTTAAATAACCTGATAAAATAATTCTTGTTTAAAGAACGGCTGATTATTAACCTATTAAAAAAGGTTTTATTATGTTATCCACGTTCAAACTTACTGATTGCGTTATCTAACTTAGCAACTTACATTACCAAAGAAAAGTACGTTTTAATTCATAATTTTGTCGTATCGTATTCTACAGTGGAAAGCACACAACAGCTGTTAGCAACACGCAGTCATCGTGAGTACGTTAGTGATGTAACTCTGAAACAGTTTTCAGAGTTACATCACTACGACCTTTAATCATAATAAAAATATTGGTAGCTTATAAAAACTATCTATTATCAAAATATTACTACTAATACTAAGTGAGGCGAGAACAATTTAGATAGATTTCGAGGGGTAGAGGGAGTGTAGAGTGGGGGTAGAGGCAGCGTAGCAAGCAAAAATTGTCAATCCATAGATAATATTGTAACTACAAATTAGATTTCCTTGTATTTAATTCATTAGTAGTTCTAGGATAGGCAACATGCTTATAGCCAATTTAGCAAAGCAGCTTTTATTGGAAAACAGTCAAGTTCCTAATTGTTACTTCGATAGACAGGAAGCCGGAGGGTTGGCTAGTTATAATAAAAAGGTATCCACGTGAACTGTACCGCTAGACTGTACAGCGGGTGGAACATATCGGGTGGCCGGACATAGCCACAAGGCTTCTGTCTCATGTGTCTAATCTATTAACTGGGGTTCCTTAAATTTATAAAGATAATCATAATTTTTTTTTTTAATCAAGAGCCTAATTTATTTCAGATTGTTTTATATAGAAATAATATATAGCATTGGACAAGACGATTAAAAATAACCGAATTCAAATAGTAAATTAAAGAGAAAACAAGATTTACTTCGTTTAAAGTATTATATATGTCCCTTAACTTCAATATAAGTGATTGAATTAATATTTTCATAATATAATGTCGTTAACAATTGTTATGATATTACGTCACGCTTTTGAAATTCAACTCCACAATTTAATTGGGAATCGTTAGAGGCAGGCAGGCAGAGGTTGTTAAAGTAGCCGAAGGATTTTAACTGAATCTCGACTCCATCATAAGATCTACTTCAAAACATTATTACATTATAGTGCTTTAAAGAACAGAATCAAAAAGCTTATAAACACAATCTCTAAGAGTTGTCGACGTTTCCTTGATTTCTCTGACCTGTGATCAACGCAGCCTGATTTTGTAAAAAGGGAATCACCAAAATATTTACTTTCCAACAATAAAGTATCATTAAAATCGGTTAATTAATGACGAAGTTACTTATGGGCTAAAAACATAAAAAGCATACATACGAATCAAAATAAGAGCCTCATTTTCATCAAAGTTAAGTGTAATAAGTTGTTAATATTATATTAAGAAGATCAATATTAACTGTTCGAATTACAGTTATAACCAATGATGAAAGCGAGTTCTTGTTCAAGTTACAAAATTGTCTTGTAGGTTATGGAACTGTGTTTTTATTAATAGTTGTATGCATGTAAAATATTGATATTATATTTAAAAACTTCTAGACATCCGTAATTTTTACTAGACTTGGTTTATAATAAATGTGTGTGCATACCCTGAACGAATTATTTGCTGGAGCGGTAGCCTGACCACATATTCCACTATAAGGTATGGAATAAAAATAGGAATGCAGCAAAATACCAAAACGGCGTATGCTGTAAAAACAGACATATAGTACCGGCATCGAATTATTTCATAAAACCTACTTTTCTTTTCATTATTATTTAATTGATTATTCACTAAAAGAGTGTTACATATAATTTATTACTTAAATACAATTTAAATACTGTCTATAGTTTACGCGAGTAGTACACATTTAAATAAAACACTTTAACGGTTTAAAACGCGATATATTAGTTAAACTTATTTGAAAAATGATTTTTTTGTTTTAATATCTAAAATTGGTAAAAACTAATACTAATTACGGAACCCCGTAAAATACATTTAAATCACCCTTAATGGCTTTTTTGTATCGACATATTGCACGACTAGCATTTTTTGTCCCAAATAAGGAGAGAGTTTAAACGAAAATAGGGAATACAATATTTTTGGATAAATATGGATATTACAATATGTTATTTACGAAAGTGATTCAGGTATACTGATATAAATATTAAACTTCATGCTATTAAATATACTTAATATTAAGGAATGGATAGGATTTTAAAAAACGTATTACCAATGAAAAATGAAGTGGTAGAGAAGATTTCCTGTTATGAAAAATCAACCGTACTATTATGTTATATACTATTGACATGCTAAAGATTATACATGCCCTTATCACTATGTAAATCTGCCTTTATATTTTTTTTAGATTTAACTTTCAAAAAAAATGATATAAAATCGCGAGTAATACCATTCAATTGACTACTTTTAACGGTTTAAAACGTTTAGATTAAAAACTATTAATTCAGTATTTACTATGTACGTGAAGTAATTGTATGTGACAAATAAAATTGCTTTGTGTTAAGTGTAGTAAGATAATTATAAGAAAAATGTTTATTATTTTGTTACTAAGATAATTTAATTGTTTGATGATCTTTAAAGGCAGCTGAAGAAATGCTTTTATAAGCTGTAATAAACTTGAAAGTAAGATATAGTTCTAATTACAGAAACGATCACAATTAATCACAATACGAGAATTTGCCTCGCGACAACTTCTATAAATAAATCGACCTTCAGCTAAAAATAGACTCCGATCGGGAAACTGGGTCAGATCACCCTCTTTGTCCCACCTCCCGATTCACTTTGGCAAGAGAGGGATGGAGAGAGCCTGCAGAGGTCGACACGAAGCCCGTTCATTGAATTTTATAGGTACCACGAAGCTTATCTTTGGTGCATTCATAACTGTCTTTTTACTCTTCATCGTATACATTCTATTTCTATCTTGTTTAGTATAAGCATATAATTACACTTGATATTTAATAGCCTAGCAAGTGATATAACAAAGATTTTTTTTTTTAAATTGTTTCATTTAATGTAATTTTTATTAATGTTGCAAAAACAATTAAATTTTTGCTTTTTGTAAGCATAGTTTGTTTGAACCTCCAAATAAAGGAAGTGTTATTTTATCGTATTTAATGCGGCGATGACGTCAAATCGAGGGTGTGGCATGGAGCTATGACGTCACAGGAAGGTTCTGACGTCAAACGAACCCCTCCCCCTCACCACACCTCCGTTTCATCATACATGTGCTAGCTCTATAGCAATTATAATTTCTTTGTGGACCTAAAGTACCTTAGACATCTTAGAACCCCCAAAGTAAGCTTTTTCAAAAATATTATGACGTATACGTATGTGACGTACAGAAAACAGAAGCTAGCGCCTAAACTACATTATGCATTTTAAGTGTTATTTTGCATATTAAATTTCCCAGATTTTAGGATTAGTTTTTGGTTACCCTTATGATATAATAATTTTGGAAACCTTTGTAAAATGACGCTGAACACCTAAATTAGTTGGACATTTAATTTCAATGTTGCCTTGTACTTAATTTAATTCACTTAGTGTGCAACTTTTAATTCATTTCTCAATTATGAATAAAATACTGTACAAAAGTAAACGTAATTTAACCATTTGTAGAAGTCTTACATGGAGTTAACCGAATATCCCTCTTGAGTTTACAAAATATTTAATTTCTTGCCATGTAGCTTACATTATACTGTTCGCATTTTTTTCTGAACCATATTTTTTGAAGAAGCCACAATATACGAACTGTAAATGACAGTAATTTACCAATCTACGTTATAGTATACAAAACTAAGTAGTTTTAAGTCGTTAAGTTTCTTAGATAAAATTAATTGCATAATTTCCAAGGTAAATCTTGCGATAAGCGTAAAAACATGGATAAGCGCAAAAGGAGTTAGAATCAATAAATCATATTATCTCATAGCTCACATAAAGCTAACGGCATTAAGGTAATTTCTGAAGTATTAATATAATAAAAAAAAACGCGTCATGTACACGTACCCTTAAAAGTTCTAGTACGGATGTAAGGTACAGAGCTTCATCGTGTCAAGGACATCCGCTAGTACATTACTACGGAACTGATATTAATGTAGCATGATCATTATGTTCTGTACACAATTTAAAGTCAAGGTAGAAATCTATTTCAAATAGTATATAGGTAAAGTAGAGGAATTAATCCGAAAAATTTGACAGCATATCAGAAAACTAATTGCTTGATTTTGTTACTTTTAGAGCAAGTTTATTAATATATAAGGGAATTACATCATTCCACAAAAAGACCAAAGGATATATTTGTACGTTCTTTATATCGATTCATTGAATATTCTTTAACATGAAATGTAGTTTAATTAGGATATTTAATATTTATGTGTCGTTTATTTCATTAGAATCGGGTTTCAGTAGTAAGGACTGAAGTTGGGAAGTCTAGCTAAAGCTGGCAGACGCGTGGGCGAGTCTACGGTGCTACGAAGCTACGAGCCCGCGTAGGCGTAGCGTAGACTCAATCCACGTTAAAGCTTTTATCAAATTTCAGATAACTATAATTTTTATTATTGTATTTTAAATGTGTATATGTAAATATACGTTTATTAAGGACTTAAATAACACGTTTAATATAAATACTAAGCCTAAATATCTCCTCACCTTTCCCGAGAATCATCCATTTCCGTTAAATGAGAAGAAACTCAAGTTGCACATATCTAAACTTCCCGTTTCCCGTGAGTTTATTGCACGGTGGCCCACCGACGACTGGAGCCAAAACGAAGTTCCCTTCAGAAGTTGAGCTTGAATGGGCCTCTGCTGCGATTGGTCGGTCCCGTGTGACGTCATCGCGAAAATCATGTGGCCTCAAGATGGGTGTGTGCGTGAGGCTGAGCCATGAATGGGCGCCGGGACCGCGCCCGCGCCGTGCCCCCTGACGTCATAGACACATACATTATGCAACTCTATTCAGATACACTGCCCATATAAGTATTTTTTAATATTTCCCATTTCTTAGAACTTAAAATTTCATTATGATCCTATTGCATAAGTTCATATTCTAAAGTATAGAAACAGCATTGTAAATTTTTTCTTTATGATGCCTAATAATGTTATAATAAACTTGTATGTATACTATATTACTATAATATTGTGTTATCGTTTAATAAAATTAATAGTAATTCTACAATTCGATTAGATATTTTAAATATTTCCTTTGTCCCAGTTGTAGTGGTCTAACAATGGATTTTATTGTTAGCTACATATAGCTACCAGGATTTGTCTATATTGGAGTATTAATTATTGGGAATGTAATTTTTTAAATTGTTTATAAAGAACAACGCGGAATATTTCCCGAGTCGAAAATGTTTTCAATTTATTTTCGATTTTAAATTATATGTTGATTGTAGTATAAAATTAATAAATATTATTAAGTACATACTATAAATAACAAATCTGCTTACATTGCCTGACGAGCTTTCGCACAGTACTCTGACTGTATCGATATGTGACTCGCATACAGACAGAATTATCGCTTATATTTTCATAACGCTTATTGTATTTAATAATATAAAATTTACTGTAAAACTATTTCTATAGCAAACATAACATTTTTGGCTAATTTTCTGTAGCTCCCTGTGCATTAATTATCTGTATTATTTAATTAATAAATAACAAACCTTTATTTCTTTGTGTGCGATGTATTAATCGATAAAAAATATTTTGTTCCAAAAACTATAATCCATTTTACTAACTAAATTTATACATAGATATCTATCTAAGTTTAAAAAATTGGAATAACTAAAAATGGCGAATTTAAATAGGGGATAAAGGATTTAACCTTCGAACTTTAGCGGTGCAGGCTCCTGCAGCGAGGCGCAGGTTATTGAACTCGATCTGACCCGGTTACCAGCAACAAGTGTATCGAATGATCGTTTGGCATTTAGCTGGGGTGCACACCTCGAATTTTATCACGTCCTATGCTTATACACCAAGAAATATAACTGTACATCTATAATATAGTCTTATAAAACATTAATATCCCATTTTTTCACAGGTGCTATATTAAAAAGAAACAAGTCATTCAGTTATAATTTTTTAACAAAATTATTGAAGTGTAACTGTAATAGTACATTATGATATAAGTGCGGTAAGTTGAAAATTACAGCCGAGGCGATATTACTAGCCCGAGTCGGCGAGAGCTATAAGAAAGCAGAGGCTGTAATTTTCAAAGCGCACGTATGTCATACGACGTTTTATAACATATTTACGAGGAAATGACGACATTTTCAAATAAAAACAATGCAACGAAAAGAAAAAACGCGCGGAATTATTTTTACTTGTCCACAAATAAGCGATGCGCGCGCATCAACGTTTTTTTTTAGCCAAAAGTACAAAAACAGCCAGTACTACTAATAAAGAAAATAATATTTTTGTGTTTTTGTTATAGATAAATGGTTGTAATTTATTGTCAAAATTAATTAAATTAAAGAATTAAATGTTTATTTATTGTATTTTATTTCCCAAAGTTCATTTTATTCATAAAATATTGACCACTTTCTTGACATAAAACCTCTTTGCTAAGATTTTTAAAAGTATTGTTCATTTTTAGACGAAGTATCTTAAAACTAAAAAAAAAACACGTGCCTTTTACATTACATTATCGCACAAGTACGTAATGAGATACATTCCGATATTGAAATTGGTGTAATTACAACCACTTTACGAGCAAATATGTTATAAACGTTTTTTTTTAACAGAAAATAAGTAAATACTGACTGAAGTCTATAGTTTACGCGAGTACTTCACATTTAAATAAAACAATTTAACTGTTTAAAACGCGATATATTTTAATTTTCAAATAAGTTTATAAGTAAATATTTATTATATTAGCTGCTATTTATATTTGATAATTAAAAAATATATGGTTTTCATCCATCTGCACAAATTATCGAATGCTACAGAATAGCCGTTGTGTTAGTTCGTATGACGTCACACCTGCACTAGGTAAAATCGTTTACGTAAGTTATTAATAAGCCATAAAATAAAAGTTATTAAAAGTAGAAGTATATATTTTTTTGTAAATTGATTATTTCGACAGATTAACTATAAAATAGAATTTATTATCATGAAGTATAATATATAATGAATACGTCGTAAAATATAAGTAGTTTCTATTACAGTTTTTAAATAACCATTACATATATTTCTCCCTGGTGTATCTGTGTTTTCTTAGCTAATAAAAAAATTAAAACTAAAATAGGTCACTTAGACCCTTAATAGGTAAGGTTATTAATTGGTGGAACACTTAGCGTAATTGACACTTGACTAGAACTTATTTGATGTAATTTCGTGCCGTGGTTGTCCATTCACAGCTTCAAGGCAGTTGCGGCGTGCGTCAATCGCTAAGGACGCGGCCTCTGGAGCGACCTTAGAAGATAGTCTAAGAGTTAGTCATAATAACCAGTTATATAAATAAAATAGTGATATTGTATTTCATAATTTTAAATTATATATAACAATTAACGAGTTATTTTTGAACTTTAAAACATTTGGAAAAAATGTGTATAAATTTAATAGTGTTTCGAAAAGTATAGTATAAGAGTTAGGGATAAAAAAACAGTCAATATAAATATATAGTTCCATGAACGAACTAGACAAAAATGATATATAATTAGATAGACTAAAGTAATTGAAACTAAGTCGGTCCCTGTTAAAGCCCGTATATCTATTTTTTTTTAATTATGCTTAAAAATTACTTTCAGCTCTTATGGCAAAACTACATCGTGGCACTTTATTTGGACATCCTGTGCTCGGCTAGACCGTGTTTGTAACGTTTTAAGTTACGCCAGAAATAGCTTCAGGGTTGCCTGTTATCATTCCTAAATCGCTTTTCGGTTAACTATAGCTTTATTTCCGTCATTGGAATAACTTCCGGTGATAATAAATTTCCACAGTTACATTGTTTCTTCAATTATTAACTTACCATTGTGTTAACTCAGAAATATTTTTATTAATTTTTTTGAGGATTTGTTTAGTCAAAGTAAGTTGTTGAAAATTTTGTATTGGAAATAAGAGAGATGTATAAATAAAAGAAACGTGTTGGAGTATTTACTATATAGAAGAAATAGATAACTAAGTAAAAGTATAATTAAGTGCATGCGCAAATCTTTTCTGCATAATGATTAACGTTTGTTGTTTTATCTAAAAAAAAAGAACAAAATTCGTTTCACCTTTCGCTTACAAGATTTATTCTAGTGGTTTTTACAGTACGAATGACATAATCTTTTATAATAATTCCCATAAAGTATAGGAAGAAGATCATGGTAAGTTCAATTTTTCATTATTCCAAATACATTTATAACGGAAAACGTCTTAATTAAGATTCTACAAATGGTTATAAAAGCTATCTATAGCTTTAGTTCGTAGGTTCTCTCTTAATTGCATTTACGGCCGTTATCAAAGCCAGCCTACATAACGTGGCTATTTATATAAGTTACAGTTGCAAGGCTTACGTTTATTTAATTATATGAAGGCCAATATAGGTCTTTCTTAAAAATGTAGAGACGTAAGTGCTTGACGTAAATTGTGATTATTAGGAACTAGCTATCACCCTGTGACTTCACTTGCGTGGGAAAGTGACTAGTTTCCTAACACCTCGGGTATCAAATACAACAAGATACGTAATGAATCGTTGACTTTGAACTTTATTACTAGTTAAACTAATATATCGCGTTTTAAACCGTTAAAGTGTTATTTAAATGGCTATAGTATTTCACACACCACCTAGTGAATCTCATGGTTGTCTATCACCTATAATCTTAAAAAAATATATATTTAAGAGAAGACACAAAATAGAAAATTCATGTAATTCATGCGTGAACGGAGGCCTCGAATTGAACAAGAGTGGCAAAGTATGAACGGGCGTGCGTCACCCTGCGTGTTTCGATTCATGAATAGAGGCTTGCAATACCGGGATGACCCAGTTTTTGGTTTCATGCCGTGCCTTAAAACGGTGTAAACGCCATTTCAACAGTTATGCTATTATCACCTGTATTGTATTAGATATACATTCTATTATAGTGTACTTTTGAAGGGTGAGATATGCATTTTCTATTATGGACCAGGTTATGACGTCAGTCAGTGGGGAGAGGTTGCAGCACAAGAATCAGGTCAGTTTCATTCTGAAACAGGTTCGGGGGTAAGGGAAAGATGGAATTAGTTGCTGTTAATGATTAGATGTCATGGTACTTGCCAGGGGTTGAATCATTTTAAATAACCTCTTCTGTTATGTTTCGAATCATTGTTACTGCTATTTTGGAATCATCTTGTATGTTTGCTTATAGGTACTTAAGATAAATTTTAGCTAAATACTGTTTGCTCTTTACGCGAGTAGTATAAATTTAATTAAAAATTTTAACGGTTTATAAAGCGACATATTTAAGTTAAACTTATTTGAACATTATTTTACGTGTGTGGGTCTCCTTGGGTGACCACTACTGCTGCAAAGCATCGAAAACGCCGGGCTGTAGTAAATTTTTTTTTAAATAAGTTTTACCAATGTATATCGCGTTTTAAAGCGTTAAAGTGTCTTATATAAATATACATTTTAGCTTTTAAAAATACATCAGTGTATAGTTTGATGCATTAAGTTCGAGTACAATGCATTCATAACTTCCTCGAATACAGTAACTAGATCGAATAATATATCTCTATATGTATACCTGATTTTCAGAAATACCAATATTTTTTCAGGAAACTTGGTGACAGGCTACATATGACCTGTTCCTATTGCTTACTCTTTATTTTGTCTTATTTGTAACTTGCCTCCCTATAGTTCAATAGCCGTCAAGAGCTAAGCACAGAAAGTCTTGGGTTCGAAAACCAGAGAAACATAATTAATAGTTTCGAGGAAAGCATATAAATCTGATCGTTTGCATTGTTAGGTGGTATACTCAGACACAAATGAACTCTTACTAAACTTTACTATTTACGAAATCGCAATTACAAATACACGCACTTATTTTCTATCTATTCTAATATATAAATCTGAAGAGTTTGTTTATTTCCAGATGTACTGGTTTGAATTGAAAAATTATCTTGTGTTGTTAAGAGTATTTATCGAGGAAGATTATAGCCAATCAAATCGTGATGTAACTAATAGAAACGAAGAAACGGCGTGAAATGTGGAAAATTATTGTTTAAATGATGTAAAAAAAGTCTGTAACACTATATGTATGTCTGTAATACTATATATATCTTTTAAGATTAACTTAAAAGAACAAGTACGACGGGACGATGCGGGTACGCAGACGAAGTCGCTGGCACAGCTAGTAATGACATAATTTTAAAAAATAATTATTACCTTTTTATAGCACAATTAGCTGGTGATTTTCTTCAACTATTCATAACATAAAACGAAGGGATTCCTATAAAAACCTTATAATCATTTTATTTATCAACTTAGTTCTCTTGCCAGGATTAATCAAGTCTATTTTTAAAACCTATCACTTGACGTTAAATGCATCCTAAAATAGGTGACCCGGTTGCCGAGGCGTTGCTCCGTACACGCAGGCTAGAAGGGTGACGTCATTCACCCTCCCCGAACCACACCCCCGACCTGCCTTACGACTGGACCGTCCTTTAAACTGAAAAAAGCCTAATACTTATCATTAGCAAAGGGACCGACTGAGCCGAGCCGAACATTACCCATTTGAAAACACTAAAATTAAATTCCAGTAAGTATTGTTATTTGTAAGTCGTATTTTGACTTTAAGTAATTTAAAACAGGAAGTCTCCATTCTCCCAAATGAGACAGTCATATAACTGTGTCTCTTACACTGTTAGGTTGTATTTAATGTATGAACTCTGGATTCTTTAATCTTTGCTTGCCAATAGATAAATATTTCACCTTAGGTGATTCTGATAATTTATATTTCTTATTTCCCAAGACCAAGTATTTCTTTTATAATACTTTCATCGCACAACTAACTATGTCTTAAGTGGTCCTATTTCTGTATAAAATTGACGTTATCCTTTGTGTAATATATTCAACGCGCACGCATCTGTTTACCAATTTACCTTCATGTTTTCATTTGTTTTGTTACAGGATAGTTTAATTAAAATTCCATTTGTTTTTTTTTACTATTTAAAAGATATTACAGAAACCACGTGGGCAGTAAAAAAGGAGTATATCTTAGTGTATTTTAATTTTTTGGTTTCTGATTTTAACTTTGTCTGTGTGTGTATTATTCCGCTAATCTCAGTGAAAAGAGTTACTAGGTATATTATAAATATATCATTTGTTATATTCTGCTATCAGGTATCCTATAAAAATAGTAAGGGCTAAAAGAACTGTAGATAATTTCCTGTATTTTTTTGATGTAGCTGCCGTATTTCGATAATGTAGGTTAAGCTTATAGAGGGTAATAGAATAGAAATCCAGAATAACATAGTAATGAAAATAGAGAAGGTAAGTCCTAAGACGTCATTAATAAAAAAAGTCACGTAGGTACTTGTACAAATTATAATTTTTCGAAATATGTTAATAAAACGATAGGTTGATAATATCGGTTTTCGTCCGATCACTGCAGTTAAGTAGCGCTTAGATGGGAGAATCGCGTCATCTATGTTTTTTGTAGTTTTTTTTAATACGATTTTTTAAAATATAACTTATAGGTGGAATTTATATCATTATTATTTCATCGATTAGAACGCGTCTAGTTGGCTTTTAATTATTCCATTATTATTACTTCAAAATTCACCTTCCTAAATTTATGCACAGGTGCACATTAAAAACCTTGAATTTACTTTTAACATTTTTAGTTTCTTATAGTGATTTAACGCGAGCTTAAAAATAATGGATAAATAAAAATTTAAGTACCATCTATTAGCTAGCTATAAAAACCTTTTCTATTACTATAGACATAAAGTCACTACATTACTTTAATTCTTTTAGAGTTTGCTAGGTGGCACTGATAACATACGACTAGAAAATCGATCTAATACAGAGAAACCCATTCTTCGCTCTTTGCATACAAATCCCGTCTATAAACAAACGAAGTTTAAACTATTACAAATAGAAAACTTTAATTAATCTAATGATATAATTTTATGGAAGATATGACGAGGTCGTTGGGCAAACAGTAGGGATTTATAGCCAAGATCGATGTATTTTTCAGCGTGTTTCTAATTCATTTTTTTCCTTAAAATCTAAACATTCAATGGAGGGTAGTAAAACTGAATCTAAATCTCCAACGGTTTACGAAACTCCTTCTTGACTACAGATGGAAAAGTCAAGTATAAATTCGTGTTTAATTTAACTTTTTGGATTTCGAATCGTCGACAGCATGCACAAGGACCTCTTTTTTTTATGAAAAGCATTTTATCTTCCACTAAGTAAACCAGACTTAGTCCCGACTCCGTCTTAAAGAAATCTTGGTGCTCTTTCTAGGCTAGTACACTTTTGTGGACATACTAAGGGAGGGCAAGTTGGATCAAGTGCAAGAGTGTATACCTAACATTTTCATGCGCGCGCAGTAATGACGTCCTCGGTATTTTTAGAAATACTTTGTTTTCGAACAGTGACCACGGCAACTAAAAACTGTAAGAAAGAAATCACAAATGGGTGGAACCCACATAACAAGTAGAAAATATTTCTTTTCGAGACGTATTAACGGGTTAGAACTACCCTTAAATTATTTACAAATTTTCGGTTGGACAGTTTGTATACTAACATGTTTGATAAATATAATAATTGTACCTGAAGTTCAGTTCAGTCAGCTGAAATTAGCAACCAGGGTAGTGTACGCTGTTCTCTATGTATGCCACATTGTATCGAATATATTTGCCATGGGATTAGATCCTTGTGAAGAAGAGCTTCGTAAGCGACAAGGGACTGAAGTGCCCGAATTCGATCGAAATATACACGCTCATGTTATCGAGGATGGACGGTGTCACCTCTGCAATATATACACCAGTGACAAACAGACGAAACATTGTGGTATTTGCAATAAATGTGTATACAAGTTTGATCATCATTGCAAATGGTTGAATAATTGTGTCGGTAGGAAGAATTACTGCGCTTTTATTTGCTGCGTCACAACTGCGTTATTCATTTCCTTATTTACGTGTTGTTTATGTGTAGTTGACGTCTCCTTTATTTTCCAAAATCCCTTGAAACTTGGTGAGCCGGCTTTGAGTTTTATTAATTGTACTTCCAATAGTTGGGAAGTCAGTGTCCTTAATTGTAAATATTCAATATACGTTATAATAGTTATAGCGATTTATTTTTTATGTAGTACTGCTATTACATGTGCTTTGCTACACCTTTTATGTTTTCACATATACATCTTCACCTTAGGAATATCTACTTATGAATATATTATAAGAAATAAAAGCTCTCCCATTCAGACTAGGTGTTTCCAAATGTCCAATTTATTTTTCTATAGAAATAGGCACATGTTAAATAGAAAACAAAGGACTATAACTAAAAATGAACCTAATGTTGCGAACCTGGTCAGTATAATAGTCAATTATGAATTAGAGAAGGCGAGGAAACTGTTTCTATATGAGAGAAATAAGATTCATCCTACCCAGACACACATTCCCAGTTAGTTAGCGTATTTTAACCCATTAACAGATTTTTAAATATATATTATAATTTATTTTAACAGTTCAACTACAAAATCAGAACATGTACCTGTATCAAACTTATTTTAGCATAAAGAAAAGAAAAATTGAATATGTAAAAGCTAATCTACGTAATTTTAATATATGTATATGAGTAATTTGTTGCTAAAGGAAATCCTTGGAACATACAAAAACTGTTTAATTTCCTTGTAATCATGACTTGCAGAGTCATCATGTGACTATGTTAGAAAGCTACTACAAAGAATTGAAAGTGAGAAAAGAAAGAGTTTAATATACTTTATTAAAATACAGTTAATTTAGAACAGGATAAATAAAATTATGAATAATGTAATTAAACACCCAACACTTTAAAATGCTATATAAATGTTTCTTGAGCGAAATGCTTAATTACGTTTGCGGCGACTTTGCTCCTCCTCCTGCAATTAACATAATTTATCATGACTTTTTGAAAATTTTATTTATTAATTACGAGTAATTCGCCTTGAAGAAGATTAATATAAGAAATTAAATGTTGTTATATTTAATACCAAGGATTTTAATTTAATACCTTAAAAAAATAACTCTTGAATAATGTAAACAATAAGAATTTGCATGTATACCTTTTGTTTTAAAATAATAACAAGACGCCTGAATATTCCTATGAAGTCAATGAAGAGTTCCAAGGCGTGTTGTACAAAGTCTTTGTTGCCCATGCGACGCTTCTCAATTATTAGTTGGGTGTCATACAAGACAAATGCACACACAGCAATCAGACCGAAATAAAGGTGCGCCTGAAGAAACAAAATGATTAGATTACACTAGATTTATCAAAGTTTCAGTAAATATGTTATTTGACAGTACTTCATAAAAATGCAATCAATAAAAGCTTTTAATTTCTTCTCAAACTTTCTCATTTATTGTGTATTGTTAATGTTAATTACCTAACATTAATAAATTCACTTACTTGGTAAATAAATTCTGATTGTAAGAAAATGTTCACCAAAGACATCACAAACAATGATGAAAACATTGTCATTAGTGTACCACCTAGGAATAACCAACTACCACGCTCAGCTAACATAGCAGAGATAGAGAAGCAAATGAACACAAGTGATGTCCCTAAGAGAGCCGTCACTATTATTGATGGGTCAAGAACACTGACACATTTGAGCATAGGCCCCATGCTCATACCTTTAAAAAAACATGGAAAATATTAAAATATATAGTTTTCATAAGTCATTGTAGTCTACTAATCTATCTATACACATTTATTATTTAAGTTAATGTGATTTAAGTACCAGTAGTCAAGCCAAATCCAGCAAGATATCCCAAACGTTGTTTGGTGTTCTTTCCATCATCAGGGGTAGCAATTAGCATCAACATTAGGCCTGCACTAATGATAACTGATAAGAAACCTGCTTGGAACTTTGTGAACATGTCAACACAAGCACCCACTGAAGCAGCAGTGCATGTCATCATTAAGGTTCCATAGACATTTTTAAGGTGCTGGCGAACGGGTGGTTCCCTTAAAAATAAAAGAAAATACGATTGTAAACGCAAATAAACCCAACATATTGGATAATATTCGTTTTGTCATCGTTCTCATGTTAACGTTCTAGAATAATGGCGCAACGATTTCTACAAGGTACGATTACTACATTCTAGTTTCTATGTAATCATTTAATTTAATAAAGAATCAAAGATTATTTTGTTAAAATAAGGAATGTTTTTACTCGGATATGAACAATAAGTAAAGAAATAATACTTACAGTCGATTTTGGAAGCTGTTTATAAAGGTTTGAATATTGGGAGACATTTTGTAGCTTTGCAGAGTTCTACAAATCGAATAAAATGAATAATTATTATCAAATTTACAGGCACTTCTTAAGACAAATCGAGAGTACTATATTGTCAAAATTTAAACCTTGGTTAGAAATAAGCACGATCACTGCCTCAATCTTGTACTTTGCACTGAAATGAGAAATCAAAATTATTATGATGAAAGCAGACACTCCACTTTAATTTATCCAATGGGGACTTAACACAACGCACAGTGGGTATTAATTGTGTCAAATCAAAATAAATTGACAGTGACACTAATGACAACCTTTCACAGATAATAAAAATCAGTTAAGCAATATTTGGCGAAAACTAAAATATATTATCATCGATATAATCTATGGTTAAAACCAGTTGTTAAACTTATAACCTCTACCGTGCTTATTACTGTCATCTGTTTCTAAAGCATGATTAAAGAAATATAACCTTAAAATGTCGGTTTCAAACATTTAATTCTCAATTTGAACTAATGTGAATATTTTGTTTAACAGTATATATTTGATCTTTCAAAATGGCAAAGAAAACCAAAGTAGGGAAACAACGGAAAGATAAATATTATCAACTAGCCAAGGAAACAGGTAATATTTTAATAACAAACATTGGTATTAGTTGAGTCCACTCATTTACGATTTCTTTGACAAAAAACTATCACTTTGCAGGTTTTCGTTCACGTGCTGCTTTTAAGTTAATTCAACTCAACAGAAAGTTTGGTTTTCTTCAAAAGTCTCGAGTATGTATCGACTTGTGTGCAGCACCCGGTGGATGGATGCAGGTGGCCCATCAAAACATGCCACTGTCGAGCATTGTCATAGGTGTAGATTTGTTTCCCATAAAACCTATTCCTGGCTGTATTAGTATAACTGAAGATATAACAACAGAGAAGTGTAAATCAGCTATAAAAAAAGAAATTAAAACCTGGAAGGCTGATATTGTATTAAACGACGGTGCACCTAATGTTGGTTTAAATTGGATTCATGATGCATACCAACAAGCTTGTCTTACCCTTAGTGCCCTTAAATTGGCTACAAATTTCCTAAAACAAGGGGGTTGGTTTGTGACTAAAGTATTTAGATCGAAAGACTACCATGCCTTGTTGTGGATATTAAAACAGTTTTTCAAAAAGGTTCATGCTACTAAGCCTCAAGCATCTCGTAATGAGTCGTCTGAAATATTTGTTGTGTGCCAGGGCTACATTGCTCCTGATAGCATTGACCCCAAACTATTAGACGCCAAGTATGTTTTTGAAGATTTGGAAATTGTCAAAAAACACCATGGTAATCTTCTTCACCCTGAGAAACAAAAGAAGGCAAAAGCAGAAGGTTATAAAGAGAATGATTATACAACACACCATAAAGTAATGGTGTCGGAGTTTCTTGCTAAAGATGATCCAATTGATTTACTTCAAGAATGTTCAGAAGTAAGAAACTTTTTGTTTATTTTTTGTAAAAAAATGCATTAATTATCAATATTAAAATAATTACTGGTTATATGGAGAGAAGCTTAGTGATTATCATTATTTCTATTAAATAATTTTAATAGTTTTTTTTATAAGTATCCACTCAAAACTAGTAGAAACGATTATAGAACTAATTTATCATTTTAGATTGTTATTGATGACCAAGATGTGGAAAACCATCCAAAGACTACTAAAGAAATAAAAGAGTGCTGTAAAGATATTAAAGTTTTAGGTAGGAAGGATGTAAAGGCTTTATTAAACTGGTTGAAACATGTAAAGGAATCAAAAAAGCCCCAAGACACACCCCAGGTAAGAATGCTGTACATACCTACTAAATTTGTGAAGTGAAGTATATATATTGATATTGTACTATTTACCATTAAAGGTAAGTAAAGGCAATAAGCAATTAAATTAATAATATTAAAGATTTTGTTAAAACTCATTAAAGTAAACTGAAAGTATAATCTGTTTATTCACACATCAATATGTCTGTTAAAAATAATATGAATAATTCAACTAGCTCTGTAAAATATGTGATGATGGTTTACTTGGATTTAATAAGTTAATTTATTTTAAGGATAAGAAAGATGAGACGACTGAAGAAGAAGAAAAAGAAGATGCTGAAGCTGATGAAGGTGAAAAGGTAGAACAAGAAATAGCTGAACTACAGGTATTATTTTTATCGGATTAATTTGTTAATTAATCTAAAGAATTTTAACTGTCTCAATCTAAATATGTCATAGCATAGAAATCGAATATATAAAATTCTTGTGTCACATTTTTCGTTGCCATACTCCTCCGAAGCGGTTTGACCGATTTTGATGAAATTTTTTGTGCTTATCCGCTATCTATGAGAATCGGCCAACATCTATTTTTCATCCCCCCAAATGTTAGGGGTAGTCCACCCCTAAATTATTTTTTTTACTTTATAGCCATTTTAGTAAAATTATATGGCAAAACAATGTTTGCCGGGTCAGCTAGCATAAAATAGAAGATGATTTAATGTTGTATATGTATACATTTTTATAATGTAGTGTTTGTTGAATTAGGGTGAAGAAAAACGTTTATTAAAACGGAAAAGGAAACAATTGAACAAGCAGAGGCAGAAGTTGGCTGAAAAAATGAATCTTAAAATGGTATTAAAAGGCGATGATGGTCCGATCTTGGAGAGCAATGACATGTTCAGATTATCTGATATTAAGGACGTTAAGGTATGTACACCAATACTTATTTAATTTTTTTTATGTTATATTGGGACACTGTGATCTACCGTGATATGTATGTGTATTTACAAACCTAGTCAGTTTCAGTAATGAAGCAATCTGCTTATTTATTTTATTGATTTTAATAGCTATTATTCTCTAATGGGGTTACTAATTAGAAGAACTAGATATCACCTTAGCTTATCCTTATGTCTTTTCACCCTTTACAAAGGATGTTAGGTATACTTATTGTATTATTTATATTTTAGCAATTAAACATGGTGGTGGATCAAGCTCCAGACTTAGTAGCAGAGGAGAGTGATTCCGATGATGAAGGAAAAGTAAAACAGAAGTACATGAAGTACGATGTGGAAGATTCTAAGCTTGACTCTTCAGGGCTATACTATAAAGATTCAGATAGTGAACTTGAAATGGAGACAGATTCGGAAAATGAAGAGGATAAGGAATCACTAGGTATAACAACTGTTATAATATTAAATAAAATGAAGTGAAGTAAACTATTGCTATGCCTTTATTTTAGGGGAATCACTTACAATCTTTTATCTTAAATGTTTATATGTCGACATCCACTTGTGAGTTAATTAAAAAAATAACTTCAAGCAATTACTCAATGTATGATTGTAACCTTTCTTATAATTTTGTAAAACAATTTTCAGGCTTTTCGGACTCTGATGATGACTCAAAGAAATTAGACAAACTAACAAAGTTGAATACTCTAAGAAACAGCAACCTCAAAGCAGCTCCAGTTAAAGCTAAAAAAAATCCCCTACTCACTGACTTAGACAACACAGACCCTGTGTCGAGAAGATCTGCGAAAGCTGAGCTTTGGTTCCAAAAAGATAGTTTTAAAGAAATAAATGACGAAGATGATGAAGGCGTGGACTTAGATAAATTGGCAGCTACGTTTAAAGGGAAGGGTAAGACAAATTATTGAATATGCATATGTACAGTTTCCAGTGAAGTTAGTAAGATAAACTGCATCATGTTAACTACACTGGTATGAGAATCTTGCATATAGATAAGCTGGCAACATGCTTAAATAAAAAAAAATACATTATTTATATGTTCCACGTTAAATCTAAACACTTCTATTAATAGTTATCAAATATACAATTATAGAGTCTAATTTTCTTGTACTAAAATTTTTATGAAGTCGTTGTTCTGTAAGCTTTAATATGATAAACTGAATTATTTTTATTAAGATATTAAAAACTTTTGAAATAGGGAAGAAAGTGACCGATGATACGCAGTTAGATAAACAGACTGGTAAAACGAAGAAAAGTGATAATGATAGCTCCAGTGAGTCTGGTGATGATAGTGATTATGATGTGGAAGAGAATCTGGCACCAAATGTCAACAAAGCAGCAGCAGGGAGTAATAAGGAAAAGAAGGATGGGTTTGAAGTAGTCTCACAAGATCCAGGTAGGAATATATTGAACTATAAAAAAGTAAGATACTGAAACGGTTTAAAACGCGGTATAATAATTAAACTTATTTGAAAATGATTTTTAACTTAGGTCCGACGTTTCGGATATTTTGGTTATAAAAATTTTATTTTTTTACGTTTTTTTGAGTAACTAAATATTTTTAATTATATTATATAATCCAAATATTTAAGAGACTATATGTTTCAGAATTAAAAAGATTAAAAAAATCTTTGAAAATGGACGCAGAAACATTAGCACTCGGAACAATGATAGCGACATCGAAAAAGTTTAAGCGCGATCTCATCGACGATGGCTGGAACCGATATGCATTCAATGATAAGAATCTGCCTGATTGGTTTGTGGAAGATGAAAAGAAACACATGAAAAAGGAGGTTGTTGTACCAGAGGTAATTATTATTATATTCAGAGCAAAATATCACGTTTGTCTGTAATTGGGTTACATACTAACTATCTATTGTTGTTATAATGTCTGCATACACAAAATGTATGTATCCTATGTTGGCCGAAGGTCACATTTCTGTGCTTGCTCACAGATCAATTTTATATAGAGAAGTTATGCGTCCTCTCAGTTTGAACCTAGGAACAATTAGAGACATTGAAGTAATTTATATATCCCAAAACGATAACGTTTTCATTATCTTTCAGAAATTCACTGAAGAATATAAAAACAGATTACAAGATATAAACGCGCGACCGATAAAGAAAGTAGTAGAGGCTAAAGCGAGGAAGAAGAAGCGCATGATCAAAAAGATGGAGCGTGCGAAAAAGAAGGTAGAGGCCGTGATGGAGAACGCCGATATGTCGGAACGGGAGAAGGCCCAGCAAGTTAGACAATTGTACAAGAAGGCGCAAGCAGATGTCAAGAAGAAGGTGACGTATGTGGTGGCTAAGAAACACACTACAGCGAAGCGCATGAAACGGCCGAATGGAGTAAAGGGACACTACAAAGTGGTGGATCCGCGAATGAAGAAGGATCTGCGTGCGCAAAAGGCGAAAGAGAAGACAAAAGGCCGCGGCAAGAAGAGTAAGACAGCGAAGCCCAACAAAAGCAGACCTGCCAAAAAGAAAGGGAAGAAGGCGAAATGATGCAATTCACAGAGCTCTTTCTAAAGTGTTGCTTAATATAAGACATCAATCAAGAAAACAATTGTTTGAATAGATATCATTAATTGTACCATAAAATTAAAAAGTTTATAATAATATTGTCTAAGTTACATTATTTTGTATGCTTTGATTATATTAAATGAATAAGGCTATTTCCTTTGGAATTGATTTATTTCGGCCACGACATTATCTATCTAATATTATAAAACTAAGAGTTTGTTTGTTTAAACCTGCTAAACTACTGATTCGAATTGGAAAATTCTTCTAGTACTGGTTAAATTATTTATTGAGGAAGCCTTTAGGCTACAACACATAAGGATTGTGACCAATAGGAGCGAAGAAAGAGACGGAAATGTGGAAAAAATTCAAAAATTATTCATGTTTTAGTGTTTTCCGTTGCGTACGCTACGACATTGGTAACAAGTACCGTTTTTATGGGAATCGAAACTTCGTTGAAAAATTTTACATGGCGAAAGAACTTTAGCCAGGTCAGTTAGTGTAGTATAAACTAATATTGTTATATGTATCAACAACATTCGTTGGGATTAACCATATTTTCAACCAAGGAAAACGCACGGGGATTTCCTTTGTATACAAAATTGTATTTATACATTGCTAAATAGATTCTATTCTAACCCTTGTCGCATTATTAATGTTATACATTGACATAGGCGTGGTATTAAAAGATATATACCCGCAAGTTCACGGCCGGCGATATTTAAGTGTTCGTGCGTCACTCGGGCCCAGTGGCTAGAGTTCAGGGACAGATACGCCATAAATGATATCATTCGTCGTACGACCTTGCTGTTATTCTGATTCGCCTCTACGACGTCTACTTATTAACTACATTTTTTATTGTCTGTCTGTCTCAGTCAACGTTTACGTGAGTGCAATTATCATTAAATATTGCGACAGAAATGTCACGATTATACGTATTATTTCCTTGTTTAAATTGATGTTAATTTTACATCACTTACACGAATTATATACCAAATTTAAGTAGAAATTACCATTTAAAAAAAACTTTAACGATTTAAAACGCGATATCTTGGTTAAGCTTATATGAAAATTATTTTAACTAGTACCCGACGTTTCGGATACTTTGTAGCAGCCGTAGTCACGGGGTGTCTCCCCCTAGATTATATATTGCGTTTTAAACTGTTAAAGTGTTTTTTAAAATGTATACTACTTGCGTAAACTACGGACAGTGTTTAGAAATTAGCATTTACGGAGGATTTAATGTTGATGTGAAGCTCTATATAAATAGTTATGTATTTCTATTCCGGCTTTACTTGATTATATTTACTCGGAACACAAAAATTAGAATAATGGTTGGGGCAAGTGGTGTGAGGGGGTGGCAGCGGCAGGTAGGCGGTTGGAGCGGTCGCCGGTCGCTATATTGAGCGCACGATCACGGCCAAGGCCGTTACCTCGTCATCCTCCCGAACTGAGCCGGGCCTTGTTAGATATTTCATTTACTCGGATCGAGAAATAATATAGCAAAAACAGCACAGTCGTTTAAACAAGTAAACAGTGTAAAAATATATGAAATAATAAATGTGTGTGCGAAATATTCTACATATAATCTTCACTGTGCCTGTATAAGCAAATATGCAAGAACCAAAATTATCTACATGCTATAGCCCTGATTTTCAGGTCATTAAGGTTAACTGCCGTGTTCAAATGTGCATAGTTTTGTCATATAGGGATTGGTATAGAGAAATGACGAATATAATAAACAACGCAATGAGGATTGATTGAATAGCGACCTTGAATTGTAAATTTGAACATGGGTGGGTTGGAGTGACGTCCGTGAAGGCACGAGGCAGGTAGAGGGGAGGGGGCGCAGGGTGGCGGTGACCTCGCCCTCGCAAGGTCGTGGGTGCCATTCCACTCAGCTCCAACTTGTTCCTCCCCGACCCCACCCGGTACTCGGCATCCAGTACTCTTCCATAATGCGCAGGACTCCTATATATGTACCAGATGTAGATATTTAATACCCACGTTCCTCTTACTTCTCCAGCGATTTTCATACCTGCAGAGATATAGAACAAAATTAGCTTTTTAAGTTTAAAATTACCAACTAACACTATTTATATTATTTACATTAAATAAAAGTGTATTAAGCTTAAATGTGTAGGATGTAGTAGATATCTAGATTGTACGTTATCTAGTATAATATACGATGTTTTTTTGTTTTATGTATATAACTACAACCAATAGATCGCATTTCATTGATTGTATTAAATATCGCCCACTGAATAAAGTGCCTTGCGAATAAATATCCGTATACGACAAAAACCAATAGCGATATACCTATTGATTAAACTTATTATACAAGTTTTAAGGAAAGGTTTAATCATATTATTTTATTTGTATTGTTTCATATATTAACCTTAAATTTTGATTTCTATAAAATCAGGGACATCATTTAATAAATAAAATAGCGACTTACGTAATTGTGAGAAGGCATTTCTGGACTTTAGTTGTCAAAGTGATCGCTACATACGCTATTGCCCTTTTTTATTGATATTTGTTAGAATCTTAAAAAAATTGTAACTACATTAAAATGATTCAGGTATTGTCTTTACTAATATTATTGATTATTTTTAAATGATGAAAAACATATTAGTAATGTTTTGTTTCATGTATTTACGTATAATCACAGCTTGAAAGTACAATTCTTTGGAATATAATAAAATTTTACAACATTTGATTTATATTATTATTTTTTTTGTTCAGAACCACAACAAGATCAAATACCTTGACAATAAACGTTCGTTTACTTTAAATGTATGCGTCAAGTATTCATTCAGAGTTTAAGATTCGGATTGTTTTCGCCAGTTGGCAGCACTATCGTCCTACACGTTCCCTGGGGATAGGGACAACACTCCCTCTTGTCAATATTAATATCAGTTTACTTCAAGACTTCGAAGCTTATCATATTAGAAAGTTTTTGCTTTAAAGTTTATTTAGCAGCCAACCTAGAACCCTAATTGTAAAACCTAGTGACTAGAGTAAGATAATGCTATAAAGACATAATATTTTATAATTGATCCAAATAATAATTACAAATGAATTCCAATAGTTCTGATGCAAATTTAAAAGTAGTTGACCAGAATTTTAAACTTAAGAAGTGGGAACTGTAAACACTTTCCAATACATAATTAATTTAATAAAAAAGTTAAAACAGAAGTCTCTGTAAATGTAGTTGTAGTAAAACTTTTTAAATTAGGCATATACAAAGAACCATAAACTAAAGAAGTAAAGAGCAATTCAGGGTTCATTTTATAAAACCATAGCGTACATGAGTTCAAGGTCGGAAGGCCTTAAAATTTAAATCTCAGTATTTTATGTTGTAGTCTATCTTTAACGGTTTAAAACGCGATATATATAAGTTAATTTTGTTTACAAATTATTTTCAACTATGTTAGACCGCCTCTGTAGCCAAATGGTTAAATGTATTGCCTAGCATTGCGGTTGGCGCGAAAGGGGTTCCAATCACAGGGTAACAAAAAATTGTTCCGGTCGGGTAGGGCATCACCGTCTTGCCTGTTAAAGAACGGATTAGTGAGACGGACACAGAAATGTGTTCGCCCTATGCCCCACGAGGGGGAAACGGGATTTCACTTATGGCCCGACGATTCTAATGCTTTGCAGCAGCCACGGGATCTCGTGGAGTCTCTTCGGAGTAATTGGTAAAAACAATATACTAATATAATTCGCGTTTTAAACCGCTAAGTATTTTATTGAAAAGTGTAATAGTTTTGAGATAATATTTATTATTCAAATAGACTACAACATACTTACAACGTACTACTCGCGTAAACTACAGACAGTGGTAGAACATAATATAATTAGTATTATACTATATACAATTGTAAACTACTACTAATATAATTGCAGAAAGCTTCCGTAAGTTTAGCACACCGCACTAGTTTAAATTTGTGTTCGTAGTAATAAAGTTTTAAACAGCTTAATACATTATTCCCTTCGATCAGAATTCAATGGGTCGTTGCATTTAAAACAAAGCAAGAATATTCAGCACAAACGCAAAGAAAGGTTATTTACGTCTGAACTTGAGCTAATTAATTAAAAGCGATAATGATCCAAAAATTACGATATTCTTAAGCGACACATAGACAGAATGAGAGATGGTTTTGTTTGCGTGCGGATTACCTTACGTGGTCAACGTGTCTGTCTGATTGCGAATTAAATAAACATGTTAATCGCCGCCCCCGCACAGTAAACTTTTCGAAGTTAGTGCGGGTGATCGTCCAATTTCACGGCCGCCAATACGGAAACTATAACAACTAAATACACAAATATGCCACACAGACAGTTAGCCGCAGGTGAAAAGCGATTAACCTCTCACTAAACGGCCGTTATACTTGAAACGGAATCATAAAATAGGCCCGCAGAGGTGACGCCATCTCGTTACGAATATCTTCAGACATTTTACGGTCACGGCTGAACAATAAAGCCTGTAACAGATTGTTGACGCCCGAATACATTATCCTTTCCTCAGTTAATTATTGCTTCGATTTACATTTTCCGAATTCAATTGTCCGACGATACGTTTTTAGGTTTCATTGTTATAAGATGTAGGCTACCTGTCTAAGTGCAAACCTTATTTGCTAATCAGATTATAAATTTGATTATTCTATTTTTAAATTTAGAAATATATAATTTTGAACAAGAAGAACACATTACGTCTCATATATAATAAGTTCGTCCGCACAAGTGGGTAGAATACAGAGCGGTGCGGTCGACGACCTAGGCCCTTGACTTGTACGCGGTTCAGCGACACCAGTCACCGTCCTGCTTCGCTATTTGCTACGACACAAACGATGCATCTCTACGTATATATACGTTGTAGCCTTCGTAGCACGTTTTCTATCCCAAAAACCACTTTTAATCGGTTATAAATGCAAAGTGTACTAAATAAATTCTAACTACCACTCGGCGTTTGGGGGTTTGTTAAAAAATAATTGAGTAATATATTCTACGTTAAAAGCGTTAAAACTTTTTTTTTAACATGCTACTGCGCATAGTATATAATCAATTAAATATAACACAAGTTTAAATGTGTTAACCGATTATTGATTGTCATTAAATTTTGGCTTATTTTTCATATATACAGTATTTTAATAGAATTTTAAGCAATAAGAATTTATTTTAAAATTGTTTCTAGTCTACAAAAATAGGTACCTTTTTTTCGATTTAAACATTATAATATAGTTTTTAATACAGTATATTGGGCTAAATTAATTACACAAAGATTTATTTACTTTATTTTTTATCGACAATGTCGCGAAATTGTGTGTTTTACAAAACGATGTAAGCTCAAAAGATAAGCATCGTATCCAGCTTTAAGCTATGCCACGCATAAAGGTTATTGACCGATTTTTTCTTTTTTAAAGTTGCGTGGTCTCTCCCATTTATTATATTATAACTTGATTCGTTTCTATACCTCTTATGACTTGCGTATATTTAAAGGTATTTAGGGGAAGATTTAGAAATTGCTTTTTCGTACAATTTAATGACATGTCATTTCAAACTAAAAAAACTACTGTCTGTAGTTAACGCGAGTAGTACACATTTAAATAAAACACTTTAACGGTTTAAAACGCATTAAATGTTTTAGTTAAACTTGTTTGAAAATTATTTTAAACTATGGGCCGACGCTTCCGATGTTCAGTTAAAAATAATTTTCAAACAAGTTTAGCTACTATATATCGCGTTTTAAACCGTTAAAAGTGTTTTATTAAAAAAACTACTCTAAATAGTACTAAAATAATAAACTGAAACATTTACTGTAAGATAGTTAGACTTAGTTAATATAACCTATCCATCAAACTTTACTGTATTGTTTGCAACGCCTTCTAAAACTAACTAACTAACAGTTAATAACGTATGATATATGTACACCCTTAACAATATCACAAAATCTAATATTTTCTAGCATCAGTAACGCTTCGAAAGGGGCGACCGCACAGGCTGCGCCGGCGCAGTTAGTAGGTGCACCAGAGCTAGTGAAAGTGGGTTGAATGCGGCGCCATTACTTTCGGTTTCTCTTGCTCACGGCCGTGGACTTGTTACAATAAGCGTTGCATCCCGCCAATTTCTCGCACTGTGAAATTCTACCTTTCCACCTCACTATTATGCGAAGACAGATCGCTTCTTTCTATCAGTAGAAAGTGATTTACTGTGCCATTGTCTTACTTTCCATCCGTGCACTCAATTGGGCCTTTAACACTTAAATAATAGCGCCCACTAATGTACGATAGTATTATTTTTACAAATTATAATTCAAAATGGAATTATGGTCGTATAACCACGATAGCAATTTAATGCATATGTTTTCTTATCGCGGTTTTAGCTCATTGCCAGTCGTTGGAAAAACCTAAAGCTATTTTTGGAAAGTGCCTAACTATATAATTTTTTATATGGTAATTAGCACAGGATAACGCTACAGTTGTCCTTTATCACGATAAAATGTAAAAGGATGATTCAAAACAGTTTTGGCGTTAAGCGATATAAACATATAATTAGATTTATAACGATTTGTTTATAATTACGCCTATAAAAATGACCCCCTCTTTAGCTAACCGTTGCCTAGCATTAAGTGCAAAAGGTTCGAACCCAGGGGTAACAAAAGATAAGCAATCAGTGAACTGGATATATATATGTGTTCTTTCTGAGAAAGAAAGAGAAGAAAGAGGGATATAGAAATGTGTTCTTTCTGAGAAATAAGAGAAAGAAAACCGGCTTTTTTTTTATTTTATGAAAAGGACCACAATACAAGTTATTTGTCTTCTAAATTTAATGCAGCGAAAACTTTATTCATAATTCCCTTGTAATATTTCTCAAGTGAACACTTATATGCCTACTAATTTCTTGACACTAGGACACGACCACACATTATATTTTGACACAGTATCTTAAAAGTGAACCGGATTTTAGACATATTGAACGCTAAACTAGCGAAGTAACAAAGCGCGCTCTCGAACGACGAAAGTTACTTTCTAGGTC